TTTTGGTAATCGTTCACACTTGAGTATAAATTGAATGTAATTAGAATTTTTTTATTTAATTTAATCATGAATATTTCAAGATATCCTCTTTTTTTTTTTTTTATGTTGAATATTTGAAAATATCCTTTCACCTTAAAACATGCTATAATTAATGGATTCTATAATTAATTATAGAATCATCAAATCTACTAAGGAAATTATTGGTATACACTTAGCTTAAAATACTTTCTTACATTCATCTAGTTTAATCATAAAAAATATAATATAAATATAACCAATTCATGTATTATATGCGTATGATTATATCTTTAATTTTATTTACTTTTAATTTTAGATTAAAAAAGTGATTTATTAATAAATATATTGTATAGTGTATTAAATTAGATTGTATACCAATCAATATTCAATATAGTATGATATGGTATGACGGATTCCATATGAGATTCACTTCCTCCCATTGCCACATTTCCTAATTAAAACAAACAAGGGGATCTTATCTAAATTAATTTTTGCATTTTCAATTTTCAAAAAATATATTAAATACAATTATTTAAATTTATTTAAATTTTACCCTTATTAAGTTATTATTATATTTTTATTATTGTAGTACTCATTTTGTCCTAGAATAAAAGATGTTTTTTGTTTTTTATTTTGAAATTAGAAATTTAAGGACAATTTCTCATTTTACCTATTTTATCCCTAAAAAAGAAATAAAAATAAATAAATGTTTTTATAGTATGATGGATAATTAAAATTAAGAGATAATTATAAAGTTAAAGTAAGAAAAAAATATTAATATGAAAAAATAATTATTATTCTAAAATAAATTTTAAATAAAAAAATGACTGTTATTTAAAATAGAGAAAATATGACCTTTTGTTTTAGGATTAAATTGAAAAATAAAGTATCTTTTGTTTTAGGACGAAATTGAAAAGTGAAGTAGAGTGTCAATTATTGTAATAAATTAAGTTCTTCAATAATCATGAATCAAACCTAAGTATAATTGAATGTAGTTAGAATTTTTTTAATTAATCTAATCATGAATATTGCAGGGTTTTAAGGTGATCTTTAATATTCATAATATATGGAACAGTTAATTAATTTAGATCTTATATGTGATCAAATCTGATTTACTTGTCATATATACTAAGTCAAGAAGATCTTATCTAAACTAATTGATTCATTTTTAATTTAAAGGAAATATTTAATATTATTATTTCAATTGCATCCTTATTAGAACTTTTGTTTGTAGATAAAATTGGAAAGTGAAGTGTGGTGGGAGACAGCACTTTAAATTTAAAATGGATATTAGAATATGCTGTTTGGATTATGCTTGTGGGATGCCACCCTTACCCAAGCAATGATAGAAAAATGTATCCAAAAACCCAAAAAGGATAGGAGAGAAAATATTAAAGTCCAACCAACACCAAGCACTGCGGGATACTAGCCCCATCTATCAACATACTAACCTTATAAATCATCTGATGTAATATGGTAAAACCCCCCAAATTCATCTCATAGGAAAGGTAGGGATAAATTCATCTCTTAAAAAAATACAAAAATAAATTATTTCTCTAAATTATATATCAACATAAATCACTCATTTTTTAATATGTGAAATCAATTTTTTGTTAAAAATACTTATGTGATAAATATAATTCTGATTTCACATATTAAAAAAATAAGTGATTTATTTAAATTTATAATTTAAAAGAATAATTTATCTTTATGTTTTTTTAAAAGATAAATATGTTCCTACTCACTATTTGACGGACAAGGATGGATTTGGGGTCTGCCATGTACTATCATACCATCTCTTTTGTGTCCAAAACTAACCACGGAAGTCACCAGCTGGGCCCAGACTTATTCATATGGGCCACTAACCTCCACTACTACCACTCCCACTGCAGGCCTGTGTGGCTGCGTCTCTGGCATTTTTGGATTTGAGACCCTCAACAACAACACAATTATTATTTTCAGCACATTCTTTCCTAACCTCTTTTTGTAATATGGTGTCAAATAACATCATTAAGTTGTTGTTGAACATGATTTGATCTTTATTTTTTAGCCTTAAGGTGTATGGTCTGCGTTAGACTACTAGAGAGTAATTAGTCTTGAAGTTTACATAATTTGATTTGGAAACACTTTAACAGTTAAAAAAAAAAAAAAAGGAAAAAGAAAAAACATCATTAACCTTGTTACAGAATTAGAAGTTATGACACATCCAACAAGATGAGAAAGGAAAAAAGCGTAGGCTTAAATATAAGATGAATTATTTTGCTTATGATTAATTGAATCTAAGTCAGATGTTTATTGCATATTTAACTCTGCAATATTTTTACATTATTAATTAAAAAAAATTAAAAAATAAAAACTGCTTTGCTCTAATATCTGGTGGGATTATTTCTCAATGATTTGCATCATTAAAATACTTGATTGTAGCTCGGGACAAAAA